GCGTCAGCGTATTACCAGACGGTTGGACCAAGTATAGCCAGGGAAAACGTTTGGCGTGGCGGAGGGACCTTGTACATGAGGCTGAATCATCTTCAAGATAACTCGCCCAGAATGGCTCCAGATGACCACTCGCAGGCGCTAATCTGCCAACGCATCGCCCTCCAGACCGACTTGGTTGCGGCGGGGTAGCGACTGCGGGTGCCTCATGGGGTAATGGCTCCTGGGCCAATGCAGCGGGCGAGTGTTGTTTTTAGCATCCAGATGATCAAACGCGCTTTGGGTAGTGGGTAGTGGGCGTGGGCGTGGGCGTGGTGGAGGTGAGTGAGCGTCAACAATGCACGTCGACCAGGACCGCCCGCCCGCCCGCCCGTGTGCTTGGTGAGCTGAGGGCGCAGGATGCGGCAGCGTGTTGCGGGTATGGTACCATTTGGCTGCGGCAGTCAGCTGGCGTGAGGGCTTGCGTGGGCAGGTAGAAGATGGATGGTTAGCGAGGGGCGTGGGAGGCGTGGCTAGCATGACGTGGGCCGGCGGGGACACGACGAGGACGAGTGTAAACGGCCTGGGGTGTGGCTGTTTGTCTGCGTGTGTGTGTGTGTGTCTCTCGTCGCCCGGCACCCGCTGGCTGTGGTGAAACGGGCGTGGAGTGTATACATGGATGGTGAGTAGTGGATGGTGAGTAGTGGGCGCCATAAGGCTGAGAGCGGCGGCTGCAGCAGTCGAGTCTCGCCCGCGGCGATCACGCAGCGCGACTCGGGTTGGAGAAAGGGGATCGGAGACAAGCCCAAAGCAGCCGTGAGCTGTGTCGGCCCTGGGCAGGCCATGGATGGTTTCATGAGACGGCATCGCGGCGGGCTTGCTTGACCGGTGGGCAGACGCAGACGCAGACGCGCACTCGCACTCGCAGCCGGGCCGAAGACGGCTTTGCTTGTCACGAGCCAGCCAAAGGCAGTTTGGGGTAAAGACAGGCAGGCCTGGTTGGGGGCCTGTCCATTAATCGCTGCTGCACGCCCGGTGACGACAGGCATCGTGACACGGGGCGAGGTGCTCTCTCTCTCTCTCTCTCTCTCTCTTACTTGTACACACATAGACAGACATTGATTAGAGATGGAGCCTGTCTGTCCCGCGGCAAGCAGAGACGGACCGCGTCGGGCCATGACATGTGTCTGGGGCCATTGGGGCTATCCAGCGCCGCATCAAGCCTACAGCAAAGCGTGCATAAGCGCTCTTCTGGGCACCTGCCTCTGCGAGATGATTCAGAAGAGCGGTAAGGGAAAAGGGTGTGTGAGTAAGTGTGTGTGTGTGTGTGTGCCATCCAGATTGCCGCGACTCGACCATGTGTCTTGTTGGGACTTTGCATCCCGGAAAAACAGCTGACAAGCCCACGCCCTCAACCCACGCATACACACACACACACCCTCCCTCTCTCTCTCTCATACGCCTCGACTACTCGGGCCCCATGCCGCTGCATCATCATCATCATCATCACCATCACCTCACCGGCTGCGTTATCACGGCACTAGACCAACCCATACACAATCACACGCGGCGCAATCAGCCTTTTGTTTTGTTTTCAAAATTTCGCTTTTTTTGTCATTAGGTACCAAAAGGCAGAATACCTGCTATCTTTCATGCGAGATATTGCCATCATCGGGCAGCTCCGCAAAGCCGTTCCCGTTCCAGGGTATAGTGGCTCGGGCAAAGTGCCCGATACAAGTACAGTGCAGGTGATAGTACAAGACCAGATAGGCGTGAGCCGTGACCCCTCTTCAGCACCGAAGAAGCGTCCCCATGTCCAACACAATGACTGCATCAAAGAAATTCGTAGCCTCGTCGGGCATACACAAAGCCCTGAATGGTATCAGAAGGTTTTTGGGTCCAACATTACCCCTAACAGGCGGGCCTGACCCCAGTCCCCCCCCCACACACACACACACTGGCCGCCGCCAAACAAATCGGCCAAAAATAAAAAAAAAGCATAAAACCAGTAGAAGCCATAAAAGAAAAGAAAAAGAAGAAGAATAAAGCTTGATAGAGAAGGAAAAAAAGAAAACGACAAGAAAGGAGAAAGAAGCTCAAAAACTTAAAACGCCCTGGTTCAATGCCCAAACCATAGATGCCGCTAGAAGTGCAAACGTCGAAAAGCAAATATAATGATGCTACACTACCATCCTGACTTGTGGTAGTCGCCAAGCCCAGAGTCGAAGAACTGGTTGTAGGCGCTGCTAGGCTTGGTGTCGTCTTTGAATGTCGTGGATTTGATTTGGGGGGGTTGTTGCTCGTTGTTGGTGGTGGTGGTGGTGTTGTTGTTGTTGTTGTTGTTGTTGTTGAGGCCCTTGACATCGCCCGTCGTCATAGCGCGGCGCAGGCCAGGCAGGTTAGCAGCGCTCTGTTGGCGCTTGGCTACTGCGTTGGTAGTGGCATTCTTCTGTTGCCTTTCCCACAACAGGTTCTGTCGCAGGCTTCCGGTCAGTTCCGACGTGAGCATGTTGCGGCGCGTCGTCTTGGGCGACATGGCCGGCTGCGGGTGCACGTTGGATGTGGTCATGATGATTGGTTTGGCGCGCGACGCTTGCGAGCGCATCATCAGACCACTGTCCTCGTGCGGCGACGTTCCCGTCGACGGGCCGTTGGGCGTCGACGTGCGGAAGCGCCGGATAGCAGGTGATGATCGGGATGCGGCGTTCTGGAGAGCCGCAGCGCGGTCGTCCTGGTGCAGCGCAGACGTGAGCAGCGAGCGGCGGCTCGTCAGGTCGGGCTTCGAGTCGACGCGCTGGAACAGAGGCGTGCGGTCGGCAACGCTGGGAGGGCCGCTCTCTTCGTTGTCGTCGTCTTCCCAGTCGTCGTCGTCCGAGTCCTCCTCCTCGATGGCGCTCTCGTCGACGTCGTCGTCGCTGTCGCTCTCAATGGCCGCCTCGCTCTCCGACGTGGCGTCCTGGAAGGTGCGGGTGCTGACCTCGGCCTTGAACGACGTCGTCTTGCGCATGGGCGCCGCCTTGCGCAGGTGCTCGCTGAGGGAGCTGCGCTGGGCCATGGAGTAGGCCTCGAAGGAGCTGCAGTTCTCCTCCTCGGACGAGCCGCCGAGCGTGAACATGGGCTGCTTCTTCTTGGTGGCGTCGGCCTTGGCAGGCAGGGGCTTGGTGACGAAGCTCGACGTCTTCTTGAGAATGGGCGTGGGGTTCAGGTTGGTGCTCGAGCGTATCGACGTCGAGATGTGGCCGGGCTCGAAGCCACGGACCACGCTGTGCTCGCTCACTTCGGTCGATGTGCTGGCCTCGGAGCCCAGTGCCGGGCTCATCATGTCGCAGCCGACGCTCGTGGCAACCGTCGATGTCGAGGCTTCGGGGATGGGGCGGGCGAGCGAGGGGGGCGTGGCAATGCGGGGAGTCGGCTCCTGGACAGGCTTTGGCTGGGGGGCGGGCGGGGCGAGGTCGGCGGGCAGGGGGGAGAGCGGCTCGAGGAACTTCTTTTCCTGTATCGAGTTGACCACCTTTTCGAGGCCAATCGACGAGATGTGCTTGCGGCGGGCTTGGCTGGTGGCCGAGTCGTGGCGGCGGAGGTCGGGGCGCGAGGCCGACATGTCGGAGCGCGACGTGGTGATGGCGCTTTCCAGGTTGGACTCGTCGGAAGCGACGCTGGTCGAGAGTTCGGGCACGTCGGGAGCGTTGCTCGAGAGGCGGCGGCCATACGACCAGGGCGAGTCTGACTGGCAGCAGAAGGTCTCGCGGGACCAGAGCCTCCACGCCATGTTCTCGTAGCGCTTGCCGTCCTCCATGGCGGGCGAGCACCGTGCAAAGACTGTGCATGTCTGGTTAGTGGCCGTTTGCAGCTTCCCGCGAGCTGCAGCGTCGAGTGCAGCCGCTCGCAGTCGTTGTTTCTTTTTCTCGTTTGCTTACCAGACCAGAGCCCGAACAGATTCTCGGTGCTGCGGGTTTCGATTGTGCGCATGGAGCTAGGCTCGACGCGCACTATGGGTTGCTGGGTGTGGAGAGGCATGTCTCTCGGGGGGTGGGAGGGGGGGGTGTGCGTGCAGGTGAGGAGGGCAGAGCGAGTGTCGATGGCAGGGGAGGTGGGGAGTGCAGGTGGGGACGGCGTGGTTCCGCTTGGGGGTGGTGGTGGTGGTTGGCAGTCAAGGTTGCGATTGCGTCAATGGGTGGAGGGAGCGCCGAGCAGAGCAGAGGGAGTGCCGGCGGGACTAGAGGGATCGGGGAGACATGGATGGAAGCCAGGAGGTGAGGGCGGTGATTGTTGTTGTTGCTGTTGTTGCCGTTGCCGTTGCCGTTGCTGGTGTTGAGCTGTTGGTGGAGAAGGAGGGACGGAGCAGCGGTGGTGGTGGTGGTAGTAATGGTGGCAGTACAGGCAGGTAGGTGGGAGTGGATCTGGGTATGTATAAAGCCCACAGGCGAGTGCGCGGACTGCAGCGACAGGGGTGGGCCAGAGCAACGACCTGGGCCGACATGGAAGGCGCGAGTCTGGCACGCCCGCCCACACCCACACCCACACAGGCGCGCACACACACACGCACCCTTTGCCCGCATCCCTCGCATGCCTCGCTCGCACTCGCAACCCCTGCTGCCCCTACCCATGCATCCCTAGCCCTAGGATAAGGGCCGCCGGAGCTCCCCCGGCAGATTGCATCCAGAGCCCGTCCGGCCTTTCTACCGCTCTTTGGCCGATTGCTTGCTTCCCACGCACACATACGCACACGCTCACACTCGCTCACACTCGCTCACATTCGCTCACACGCCTCCCCCCTCCCCCGGCCCAGCCTGCTGCGACCACCACCACCACCACCACTACTACTGCTGCTAGACGTGCTACTATGACTACCCTCCACGGCGCCCGTCCCTGCGACGCCCGCCGTCTTCTCCTTGCACACGCACAGCGACAGCACAGCGCATCCAGGGCCACGCCCCTCGCTCTGGCGGCGCCACCTGCGCCAGTTCTGCCCTCTGCATGCACTCAGAGGGTACCGTCGTCGCCCGCGTGGCTCTTGTGATGTGAATGGCTCTGCGGCTGGGCGTGGGGAGGCACATGATGGCTTGCCGGGCGGACGTGCGCGCCGCCAGCTGGTGCGCCCTCCTGGTACTTCCAGAACATGTCGCCCTGACTCGTCATGTCTACCGTCTGTCTCATGGCCCTCCTGGTCGTCGCGCTGCTTCGTCCACCTCGTCCACGTCCCGCGGTGGGAGGGTGAGTCGTCGAGGCGGTCGGCCATGCCCAACCACAGCCCGCCCGCGCCATGGCGGCTGGCGGCCTGCTGCTGGCCTGCTGGCCTGCTGGCTGACTGGTAGCACCAGCACCAGCACCAGCACCAGCACCAGCACCGTCCCCCGTCGACGGCGACGCTCGCACTCGCGGATCCGTAGCACCATTTCACGTCACCTGCCTGTGGCCCCCCCCCTCCCTCTCCCCTCCCCACTCTCCCCCCTCGCCCCCCCCCAAACGTTACGCCGCCCAGATACAATACCGCTAACTCAGCTGTTTCGAAAAAAAAACCTAGCGGTGCCATGTGACGGCGCTAGCCGCATGGGGTATGGCTATCCCCCCGCGGAAGCTACGCTCGCCTTCCGCCTGCGTTCCTTTTTACCTCTTCGCGTGTCCCGACAAGAGGCCCTGCGCGCGTCTGGCCCTCGCCCTCGCCCTCGCCCGCCCGCCCTCGCCCTCCCTCGCCCTTGCCCTCGCGCCCTCGACAGGCAGGAAGGAGCGCATGTGGTTGCCTCGTCGGCAGGTGGAGAAGGAAGGAGTGGGAGCGTGCTTGGCCTGCGCCGCTTGAACCCTGAGTCAATGTCCCCCCCCCGTCGCCGTCGACTGCCATGTACACACACACGCACACTCACGCACACTCACGCACACACTGGCGCCCTCCCAGCAGCCGCCGCCGCCAGCCTCGCAAGGAAACCCAGCCCTCCGTTTCTCTCTCAAACACCGCCAGGCACCCTCTCCCTCTCGCTCACTCGCTCGCCCGCTCAACCGCGCTCACGCCCACCCACGCTGCTACCGCTGCTCTCCCTGCCACTCTCCTCACCTTATCCAACCCCCTGCCACCCCCGCGCCCGTCCGCCTCGTTTGCCACTGCCTGACTGCCTAAAAAATATGACTGCATGACTGACGGCCCTGCCTGGCTCCTCGTTCCTTGGTGCCGTTTCCACCGCCACTGCCACTGCCACTGCCACAACCACCTAACTACACCCCCGCACTGGCACCGGCGCTCGTCATGGCATCACGGGGTACCTGACTTCTGCCGTCGGCCTTTGCCCGCCTCGCATCGCTGCCATGTGCTACTCATTTTGCCGCCTATCGCCCTCGTCAAGTCCAGCGCCCCCAGCGCGCTGACGCTCTGCTGCTGCCCGCCCGCGAGCCATTGTTCGCCAGGTTCCTGGATGCGCTGGTTGCCTGCCCAGGGTCAAGCGTGCACGAGGTACACGCCCCGGTGTCGCCGCCCCCCCCCCCCGGCTCCTGGCGCGCTTCTCGACAACATCAAAGCGACGGCGACCTGCCACCACTTCCCCAGACGGCACACAGGCACCACCTGGGCGTAGCGCCCTGGTAACCTCCCCCCCATATCCGTCGGCCAGTCGCTACATGCAGCCCCAGCCAGCCATGCTACGTCAGTCCGTGGCAGGCCAATGTGCTCGACGGTCATCTGGGCCCCCCGTCGAATCACAATGCCACAAGAGCCCATCAGGTGTGACGACTCTTGGTCGCCATATGCGGCGTGACGCCTGTTTCATGAGTTGTACATGGGGAACTACTGTTTTGCTAGCCAACGCTGCCACTTTGCTCATGGCTCTCGCAGGACCGGGTGCCTGTCGACTAACCTGTGCTCGCCCCCTCAAGCCACGTTGACCTCACGATGGTGTCGACGCCAGCATCAGCATGGTCATTCTGCAGACGTCTGTGACGATCTCTTCGCGTACATGATCGGCTCCAGACGTCGCTACCAATAGGGCTGAAGTGTGCATCCTCGGATCCCAGGCCCGGCACGTTCGTCGTGTGCTTTTTTTTCCCCAGACACGCGGCAACTCTCGTCCAGCCTCACAACCGACTCATGCCGGTGCCGAGGCAGCATGGCATAGCTACAAAAAGCAACTCCCAGAACTACGTCCGCGTGACCAAGTCGCGGTGTGCACAGGCTTCCTGTCGATAGCATTGTGTGTGGGGGGGGGGGGACAGG